TCCGGACTAGGTGCCTTCCTCTAAGTCTTCCTACCAATATGACCAAGTTGCGAAAACAAGGTCAAACAACCCCTACAAATATATATTGTTCGTGTCTCTATCTGTGGTGATAAAAGTAAATTTTGAAGAACCAACCATTTCTGTCCATAGTCCTCGTAAGGCCACTCAACTGTAATGATATCAAGGCCCTGGGTTGAATAATAGTCTGCTGTTCCTCTGCTGCCGTAGAGATGGTAACCAAGTTGGGCTAACTTTACAACACTAAAAGTAGAGTAATATAAAAAACAGACTAAAAAATTATTTGGGATAGTGGATTGACTGGAAGCATTTTGTAAAATAAATATCCATCTAAATCATCCCAAAAATTCAGAATGAATTAAATTGTTAAATTATAGAGAAAGTAGTATTATATTTCCCAAATTAATTATATAAAAGACTCAAGATGAGGAACAGGATCTGAAATAAAAGTATCTCCAGTAGATTAGCTACTATTGCAAAAAAAATATAAATTCAGATTCCTTTATATACCTTGGCAGTAAGAAAACCTTGTGTCTATATGCACCAATTGAAAGAAGGATATTAGCTCCAGGGGCTGGAAGTCGACCTTCTCTAATGTTAAGCAAGGCGGCTTCTTGAGCGAGTAGAAAAGCTTCGTAGACGTCGCGGCCAAAGCAGGCCACCTCCCCGGTACTGGCCATCTCAACTCCGAGTAATACATCGGCGCCCAATAGTCGACTAAATGAGAAAACTGGCACCTAGAGTGAAGTATAGTTAAATAATAAGGATGCGTCTATTTGCTTCTTTACTACATAAGCATAGCAAATAGTTCGTTCACACAAATAAAAAAACACGTCTTCTTAATATGTTAACTAATTATATTAAACCGATTGGAAAAATAATGTTTAGCAGAAAATATAGGATTTAACGAATTATATCAGTGAGGCAAGTAAAAATAAGCTAAGAATATACCGCTTTTGTACAGGATTCATAGGCTTTTAAAGCAATCGAATCAGCTTTGGGAAGGAAGAAAGCGCATCTCGGTTTAAAAATACTTCAAAATGCATTTTCATTTTCTTTAATAAAATACTTTTACAATCATAATCTTGGTTACTTCCATGCTTATCAGATAGCATATTCACGGGGTGCGAACAATGTGAATAATCTAGGAGCTATAAAAAGAAACAAGCCTGAAACTGAT